TGTAAATCTTTACAGGAGCAGAACGCCTCATCTTTCTCCCGCGGAGCAGCTGGTAGTTTCGAACTGCTGGCCTTAAGGGTCACAGCCCGATTCGTAACCACTACGCTACAACAGTAGTGATTCTATTTTTAACTTTTTGAGGCACTACCAGAATGTTTTCCACAATGACCACCATTTTAAATCCTACTAGTAATACATGAGGATGAGGGTTCCAATTTCTACAGCTTTGCCAACACCTGTTATAAATTATAGCTGTCTTAGTGCATATGAAGTGTTATTTCATTGTAATTTATTTTGCATTTTCCTAATGACTAACAATTTGATCATCTGTATGTACTTGATATGGACATTTGTGATTCTTCTTTAGTGAGAAATTTGTTGAAGCCCTTTGCTTATTTTTCTGTTGTGTTGGTTAAGTTGTGGTGGTGGTGGTGTGCCATGGAGTCGGTTCAGACTCACAGTGACCCTATATAGGGTTTCTATCTTTATGGGAGCAGAACAGTGCATGTTTTACCTGTGGAACGGTTGGTAGATTCAAACTGTTTATATTGTGGTTAACAGCCCAACTTGTAACCCACTTTATTACCAGATCTTCTTATCATAGAGACTAGAAGTCATAAAAGAAATATCTGAAACAACCCGTTTTTAAGTGAACTTAACTTACTGAACAGAAAAACAAACATTTCTGAAGCAACATGAAATGAGTAGGAACTGATAAAATATTATACTACGCAATACTAGGAAAAAAAAGAAGATACTGGTATTTCATGCTTTTTTTTTTTTCCTTCTTTCATTTTTCACATTTTCTACAGGACTATTACTTTTGGGTTTGGAACAAAGGGTAAATGTTATTTTTCTAGATGGTAACACATGCTAAGTATACAAAGTATACAGTCAAAGTTGTTAAGTGTGGTGGAGTTTGGCGACCCTGAGTTTCCTAGGCTTTAAATCTTCATAGGAACAGAAAGCCTCATCTTTCTCCCAAGATGGTGGACTTGAACTGCGGTCCTTGTGGTTCACAGTCCAGTGCTTATCATATGGAGCCACTGTGCTTCCAGAATCAAAGTTGGGTGGCTTTAATTGTGGAAAGCTTTCTGGGAGGAGCATTTCCTCCTTTACAGGCATTCATAACCCTAGGCTGAGTCAGGCAGTTGACTGCCAACGCTGCTTCAGTTTTTACATCTCTAATTTGGGTGCTGCATAGTGATCTGTAAGAGGTTACCAAGTTTATGTGTTAGAAATATCAAAAGTGAAATGTTGTTTGTGTTTGTGCAGGTTGCTTCATGTGAGAAATGGAAACTGCAAATATCATTTGGGTGAAGAAACATTTAAGTTAGCTCAGACATTTATGGATAAACTGTCAAAACATGGCCAGCAAGCAAATAAGGCTGCACTCTATGGAGAATTGTGTGCACTCCTGTTTGCAAAAAGTCACTATGATGAGGTGAGTGCTTTGAAGTACATTTCATTGTGACCTGTGGTGGTGGTGGTGGTTTTGTGCCGTGGAGTTACTTACGACTCACAGCAATTCTGTGTATGGTTTCCAAGGCTGTAAATTTTTACAGGCGCAGAAAGCCTCATCTTACTCCCACAGAGCAACTTTTAGATTTGAGCTGGTTACCTTGTGGTGAGCAGCCCAACTTGTAACCTACTAGGTAGGCTACCAGTGGTCCTCTTTTGGCCAATTTGTTGTTAAGCACCATTGAGTCGCTTCTGTCCCACAGTGACCCTGTATAGGGTTTCTGAGGAGCAACTGGAAGGTTTGATCTTACAAAACAGAGTATAAGTAAAATAAAATCTTATTTGCCTTATAGAGCTATTTTCACAAAATAGGTTTACTTAGGCAGTGTACAGTTGTAATTGAATATTTAAAATCAGTCAAGAGTGGTATTCCCATGAGATGGGTTTGCAGCATATGCATATGGATCTCAACCGAAATCGTTTTGTTGGATATGCTTTGTTAAATCTTTGTTATATTTGTGTGCTGTTGGGTCGGTTCCAGGGAGCAGCTAGTAGATTTGAACTACCAACCTTGCTTTTTATTAGATATATAGCTCTGGGTGAAGTTGAAAGCTAATTTCAATTAGTTTGACTCATAGGTACCCTATATAGGGTTTCTAAGTAGAAAAAGTTTCAGGCTGTTGACCGTGAGATTAGCAGCCCAGCTCGTAACCACTATGCTACCAGAGCTCCTTAAATTTCAATGGGAGGTTTAATTTTACTTTACTGCATTGTTTTGCTTCTTCTGTACCTTATAAACAAGATTGCTTCATTCGTGGTTTACCACTGTTGATGCTTTGGTGCTAATAAGTGCATAATTGAAAAATGATCTATGAGTGCTTAAATTGCTTTATTTATGGAGAAAATCACAATTATTTCATGCTATCAGAAAGCTGTCATTAGCTTTCATATTTTAGCATTATCCTTATCTTAATGTTCTAGATTTTTATTCGATCAAAATAAATATTTATATATTTCGTATTTAAAGGAAAACTGCAATTATACATAAACCAGAAAATGATAGTATAATTGTAATGATGTTTAAGCAGCTCAGATGCTAGAATCATCCTGCTTTCAGTATTTATGTAAGGTTCATCAAAATCACATGGAGAAATAGAAACCACTTAGCAGCATGTCTGTCGTTTCTGTTGTATGATGATTTGTATTCTACTGAATTGAGCTGATTCTGCTGATGGATTGTTTTCCTTCCCCTTGTATGCATCATTGTTCATTGCTTATCAATTCAAATGTAGAACTTGGCCACTTTGTACGACTTCCACACACCAAAAACAAAGAACCCTATTCAATCCACACAGTCTTTTGTGTGGATTACAGGCTTTCCTGAAAATGAAAATGAGTTAAACATCTTAGTATTGTATACAGTGTCAACTTGGATATTAATTATAAACCACTCGGAAACCCTATACAGAGTTGCTGTGGGTCGGAACCGACTCGATGGCACTTAACAACAACAACCACCCCCAAAAGAAACCAAACAGCTGTTGCCATTGAGTAGAATCTGACTCATGATGATCCTGTGTATTTTAGAATAGAAGTATTCCATAGGGTTTTCTTGGCTATAATCTTTATAGAAATAGATTACCAGGCCTTTCTTTCTTGGAAGTGAGTTTCCCTCTAGGTTAGTAGTGAAGCACAAACTATTTATGCCACCCAGGGACCTTCGTTTCTTCACCATCCTCTTATATCTCTATGTAGGAACTAACTAGCTGTAGTTCCACTTTGATCATTTCTTTTCATCCCTATTTCTCATACTACCCTGTGGAATTCTACCTTCTTTTGTGTGTTACATAGAGCAGTTCAGACCTTGCATTCTACACAACTGTATCAAGCTCCAGGCCCCTCTTCTTCTCTCCAGACCCACTGAGGTACTCAATACAGCAGAAATGTCTGTGACTTTAAAAATTTTTTTTTAACTGCCTTCCCAGTCACTCAAGTTAGTCTCTACTCTTTAGTCAATGAATTCTTAGAAATGGTTTTTATTTAACAGTTTCCACTTTTTCTGTAGTTATTGTTGTTAAGTGCCGTCAAGTCAGTTTTGACCCGTAGTGATCCTGTATAGGGTTTCCAAGGAGCAGCTGGTGAGTTTGAACCATCTCTTTTCACCAGATTCATCTAGACAAGGTGAGAACTATTCAGTGGGGACTCTTTATCCTCCCTGCACGCTCTTAAATTCAACTCCCTCTTGAAACCTTGTGCCTTTATTGCCCCCTCATTTTAGGTAGCCAATGTTTAACTTGCCTGTCCCTATCTACCCTGTGTACAGAGGGGATAACATTGATGCTTGAAGTGAAAACTTCTTCCCTCTCTGTTGTATTTGAGTTACTATCTCCATGAGTATAGGTCAGGTTCATCAAATTGTAGCAATTTACATTTATCAAAAAAACAATGATAATAAAAAAATATATATATATATTTTTTTGGTAATCTTCCTGTAGTCGAGTTCTGATTATCAAGCCATCGAGGCTGTGTCAAATGGGTACTGTCTGCAAGTTTGGGTGTTCTTGTGCATCTCCCCTCACTTCATATCAGCTGGATGTTTCACTCTCAGCTCTAGTCCTCTGTAGCTATACCCTTGTCCATGAGCTCAAGTTTCCCCAGGTCTCACCACACTTTGGACCAACCAGCCCTTCCTCTACTTTCCCTCATCTCCAGGTCAACAGGAGTCAATGGACTTTTGATTGGCCTCAGCCCATTTCTTCATTGCTGCCTTTCCCCCACTTCCACTCACCAATAGACCAGTGTGGTTGCCAGCAAATTTACATGCCTGTTTGTGTGTTCCCTTTGAGTTTCAGTCTTAGAGGGGAGTTTGTCCTGAAGGAACTTGATTGCTTGCCTTGATGGCTTGTCGTACAGCTTGCTTATTCTTGTAGTAGCCAGTCATGCTGACATTTTTGTTTTGGGTTTTTCCTGATGATCTTTCTTTAAAGATGTATCTTCTGTCACTGTAGCTGTTCCAAGCTGGTCTTGCTTATCCTTGCTAGTGGGATTGTCCCACCTCAGAAGTTTCTGTATGGGACTCAGGATTCCACCTAAGGTCCTATACTCTGCAAAGGCTTTGCAAGAGGCTTATTTCACTGGGCAAGGTCTAGAACCTACCCCATAAGGTATTCCAATCCATTATAGGCTGAAGAGGGGCTTTCAGGTTTTCTATAATCACGTTTCCCGACATTGATTTCTATCCCACTTGTGTCTATTTTACATTAGTAGGCAAAGGAGACCGATATTCATAAGACTGTCAAGCATTTTAGTATTATTTCCCCTCTTCAAATTATGCCTCGATCCTTGTATCACAGAGCCCTGTTTTTCCAAGGTTGAGCATGCATCACTATTTACCTTTGTCCCACTTAAGCCATGTAAACCTGTCTCAGTGTTCCCTTATCTGTTTTGTTCTTCCACCTCCTCCCCCTTTTTGGATTGCCCTCACCAACACCCAAACTAAACCCCCCACCCCAACCCCATTGTGGTTACCTTATATTCCATTAGTTCTACCCTCCATTTAAGACAGTCTATTTTATCCAGTAATCTACCTGACCTTCCCACCACCTGGATCTTTGTTTCTCTGTGTTTACCTTCTTTCACATTGTATTTGTTTTGATCATAGACTGACCTCCCAGATCCTCTGTTCTTAAAATTTTATTCTGTTCTTGGCTCTTCCATTTGTCAACTGAGTTCAGGTTGATGCTGCCATGTATGCCATTCTCTGGTTGTTGTTTGATCTTATTGGTTCTCAGTCCACAGAACTTCCTTGAGAATATTTTTCATAGCAGTGTTGGCTTTGGCAAAATCCCTTAGCTTCTGTTTATCCTGGAATGTTTTGATTATACCATCGTATTTGATTGACAGCTTTGCTGGATAAAGGATTCTTGATTGGTAGTTTTTTTTCTTGCAGGGTTTTTTATATGTCTCCCCATTGCCTTCTTACCTGCATGCTTTTTGCTGAGAGATCCGAGCTTAATCTGACTTGCTTGCCTTTGTATGTAAAGCTTCTCTTTTCCCTAGCTTTTTTCAGGATTGTTTCCTTATCTTTGATTTTGGAGAGCTTGATTATGATATGTCTCCATGATTTTCCTTTGGCATCTATCCTTCCTGGGGTTCATTGAGCTTCTTGAATGTTTATCTTTTCACTTTTCAGGATGTTAGAGAAATTTCTTTCAGCAGTTCTTCAACTATTTCCTTCTATCCTAGTAGTGTTGAGAGATTTATCTTCCATCTCACTAGTTCTGGCTTCCATCTCTTCTCTTCCACTCCTTTGCCCTTTCAGTGTATTGTCCATTTCTGATATTCTATTATTAATCATTTGGACTTCTTTTTGTAGGTTTTGAATTGTTTCCAATGCTGTATCTATCTTATTTAGTTGTTCCTGTAGTGCTTTCCTGACTTCTACCATATTTTTCTCAGTTCCATTGTA